ATCTTGGAGTACTCGCACGTCCTGAACTGGGTTTGCCGTCAGGCCAAGCACGTCGGCCTCATACCCAACCCGGAGCTGGCCAGTCTTAGGGGCTTGAGCACCCACAGTCAACGCTCCATGCACTGTCGCGGCCTTGATGGCTTCCAAGTTGCTCATCCCTGCCTCGACAGCATACTCCAATTCAACTGCAACATTCATTCCAGGCGCTGTGTCGGTCCCCATCGCAATCGTACAGCCCGACTTGATGGCAAGCTTGTACATGGCCAAGTGGTTCTTAGCGCAGAGCTTGACCTTCTCCCATGTGTAGGGCGCCAAGCCCTCGCCACCGGTCGAGAGAAGCAATTCCGTGACGAAACGAGTAGGAACACAGATGACGCCTTTCTCCTTGATGAGATCGATGCATTCCTGATCTGCGAATGATAGGTGCTCGAGAGTCGTGACCCCTGCTTTTATGGCAGCTAAAATACCCTCTTTGGCATGTACATGGGCTGCCACTGAACGCCCTTGTCGCGAAGCTTCTGTGACAATAACATCAAGCTCCTCTTGGCTGAATTGGGCATATCGAACATCATCATCTCGTGACATGACACCTCCTGACGCAAGCACTTTGATGCACTTTGCACCCCTGCGGATCTGTAGTCTCACTGCGCGTCGACATTCGTCCACTCCGTCGACGATGCAGCTCATGCTGGTGCCAAAGTGTCCAGCGTTGGCCGATGTAACGCCCAGATTTTGGTAAACTACGTCCGCTGGCAAGTTGAAGATGTCACCATGTCCTGCCGTCTGAGATAAACACGCGCCGGAGGAGTAGATATTGGGTCCCACGATTTCTCCATCGTTGATGGCTTTGGCAACCTCACAACCCACACCCGCCACGTCTCTCATGCTCGTGTATCCACGCTGAAGGGCCTCCCAGCACCCACGAGCCAGGCGAGCCCCAGCCGAGGCCGGGTGCGTTGCAATGATGGGTATATAGCCTGGCCCGTCATCGCCAGTCGCTGATGAGCCCATAAAGTGCGCATGGACCTCCCACAGTCCCGGCATCAGATACGGGACATCGTAGGAACGATGAGGTGCTGCAGTGTACTTCTCCGGGATATCGGGTTGCAGTCCAATCCAGGCAATGATCTTATTCGAGATAACGAGTGCCGCGTTCTCGAAGGGCTCGTCGCCGCCGGGGATGAGTAGTCCGGCTTTGATTATGATGTAGTTTTGCTTCTTCACTGTACTAACCTTGGTTGACTTGATGGTCATGCCGAACGCTGTAGAAAAGACCTGTTGAGGGAATGTGGCAGCACTGTCCGCGAGCCTAGTTGGCATGTCCCTTGTGAGAGGCTCCTCTGCAGCCGTTGCCCCAGATTGAGCCTTTGAAGGGCCGGCATCTGACACCTGGTTCTCCGTGGTGGTTCGCCTGGTCATTTTGATGGTTGAATCGGGTAGAAGAAATGAGGGCTGCAGAAGCTGCGCTTACTGTAGAGGCATGGGACTCGACGTACTTAAAGACGGAGTCCGGAGGAACTCGTCACATCCATGATAAGGAAAGTGCCAGGGGTTGAATCCAACGGTGCAGGTCAGCCTCTGCGGCATAGTCGATATTCTCGGAGTTCGCAGAGCGAGTGTCGGGACTCGGAGTTGCAGTCGCAGTTGATACATGCAGGATTAATTGCCTAGGCTTCAAAAGTTGGCTTGTGCCATGATGGACAGAATCACGCATCTGCGTGCCGAATTTCATGAGTAATAGATGCTATTGAACACCATGAAAGACGAGTCCATCCTCAAGATTTGCTCTCGAGGTCGTGTTACGATCAAGTACTCAGAAAACCGTAGGGACGCGTATTGGAGCAACCCCATACTCGAGCTGATTCGGTGGGAGCACTCATCACAGCGCGTCTGAGTATTGGGGACGCGGCATTTCTGGTGGTGATGGAGACATAGAATTGATTAGCTAGCAGGACCTACAGGTCTGCTTGTCTGTATGTGCAATAACACCTATGCGAAGACCCATGCGTTCATCCGTGCGATTTTAGGCTTAAAAACAAGCTTCTTGTCACGAGCCTTAGGGTAGTGCTGTTCTGGTTCGGTCGTGCTATAATTAGGGGATTGCCCTCGGTTACTGCACCCCTAAATGAAGGTATCCGCTCTACAGGGCTGCCAAGCCTCTCCCTGTGGGCGTACCGAGGAGCTTTAATTTGGAATACGAAGGAACTAAACGTCTAAGAATTTAGGTACCCTTGCTAGCACGAGTCGTGTAGGAGCTACAAACATAACTTTTTACGTTTATGTCTAGACACGGACTCATTGCGCCTTCCAGTTGGGGTGGACTAGCATGGAATATCAGGGGCAACAGAACAAACCTAGGTACTTACCCACGTAGGTAGGTAGGTATGTACTGTACGATACAGACAAGCATTAACTTGCATATAAAGACTCGACGAGAACAGCCAAGCGTGTCTCTCATGGAACCATTGAACATTCAGAATGCTCGGCGAAATATCTCTCCAAATGTTTGGCTCTCTACCAATAGCATTACTCCTCTTGCTGCAAGCGTTTTCAGCAGATGCTAAATCGGTCGTCTACGAGACAGCACCGTCTCGTCTCCCAAATGGGTGGAAGTACCTCGGACAAGCTGACAACACAGCAAAGCTTTCGTTGTCTATAGCGTTGAAACAGCCAGGTCTACAAGAGCTCCGAGCACGACTCGACGATATCAGCAACCCTTCCCACGAAGCATACGGCGCCCACTTGTCAAGGGACGAAGTTCGTCAGTACCGTGAGGTGTCTGGATCCGCTGTGGACACTGTGGTGTCCTGGCTGCAAAGAAACAATGTCACAGATTTTGCCCTCGAAGATGCCTGGGTGAATTTGAACGCGACCGTTGCGCATATCAACACTCTTCTCAGTTGCAATATGTCTAGCTACCGAGTGAGTGGGAGCTCGAATACACAGTACCGAGCCAAGGCGTATAGCCTTCCAGAGGAGCTGATTGACAGCGTGGACTATGTCTATCCCGTCACTCAATTCATGGTGAATAAGAGATCAAAAAAGTCATTCAACTCATTCCCAATCGTCAAAAGATCAGACCCAGAAAGCCTGATGCCACGTGCAGGTATGGAAAGCACTCTCCCATGGGGCGATGAAATTGCTGGAGACTGACAAGAACGAACTACAGCCATGCCATCGAGTTGCATAACAAATGATGCTATCGTGCCTCAATGCGTCGTCGACCTCTACAACATCACTTACACTCCCCCGGACAACCTCTCAAACAGCTCTCTCGCCATCGCCGGTTTTCTTGAAGAGTATCCGGGCTTGAACTATATTCATGAGTACCTTGCCGACTACAGTTCTCGACGCAACGACACGAATTTCGACCCGGATTACAATTTCACCGTGGTTCCTGTCAACGGGGGCAGTTCAGAAAACCAAGGTACAGGAGGGGAGGCGAATCTTGACCTGGTATGCACAATGCCTTACGTGCAGCCACTTGACGTTACATATTACTCTACCGGTGGACGAGGACCGCATATCAACGACGACGGCGTCACAGTCACAGACAACTCAACGAGCATCAACGAGCCATGGGTACCATTCCTCGAATTCCTCGTCTCCCAAGAATCGGTTCCTCAAGTCCTTTCTTTTTCGTACACCGATGACGAGCAGACCATTCCTCTCACGTACGCCAATCGGGTCTGTGACCTGTTCATGCAGCTCACAAGCCGCGGAGTCTCGGTCCTTGTAGCTTCCGGCGACGGAGGCGAGGGTGGGACAGGCACATCTGACCTAGGTTGCTACGCCAATGATGGCTTCAGCAACAAGACCCAATTTATTCCGACATTCCCTGCCGACTGTCCTTACGTCACGTCTGTGGGCGCAACCGCCGCTTATAGCACCGTCGCTGGTGCTGATTTCTCTGCCGGAGGCTTTTCGAACTACTTTGCTCGCCCCGCATGGCAGGAAGCCGCCGCCAGTGCCTATATAACAGCACTCAACGGCTCACATGCGGGCTGGTACAACACCTCTGGCCGCGGAATCCCCGATATCTCAGCCATTGGCAGTCGGATCCAGATTGGAGGTGGCCTAACCACCAAGGGGACCAGTGCTAGTGCCCCGATCGTAGCGAGCATGATCACGCTGATCAACGACAAGAGGCTTCGGGCTGGAAAGCCCACTCTGGGTTTTCTCAATCCGTTGTTGTATAGTGGAAAATTGGACGAAGCGCTGTTGGACAGCACTGAAGGCTCTGGAGGCAGTTGCACTTTTAATGACGGCAGTTATGAGTTGGGCTTTGATGTCTTGCCGGGCTGGGACCCAGTCACAGGGCTTGGGACCATCAATTTGGGGAAGATGATAGATCTTGCATCGTGATAACAACGTCTTTTCTTAATCTCTTCAACAAAAACAATATGTCCAGGAAATACTTTGGACTCACACGGTCTCAACCTCTCTGCATCTCGTGATATTGGAAAACGTAATCATTGCTTGGAGCTCCAAAACGCATGTTCGAGTCCATGGGTTTCAAGCCTCCGAGTAGACAGTCGGCGGGCATCAATCTCATTGATGAGAGGTTGTGAAAATTTTAGGCAATGTTCTGTCCGTCCAGATTGTTCTGATATGCATGGTAGCTGCTGGGGGGGGGGGCATGAGGATTTACGTAGATCAAAACCGCTTCCCGTCAGCGCTCATCAACGCCAGCGATTGGACCGCCTTGAGCCGCACATTGTTCTACAGCGATATATTCGGGCTGATGGACTTAATGAACAAATATTTTATCAGCGTATCGCTACTATCACTAAGTATATATTTGCTGGGCAAAGAAGCGAAGTATCAATCCCGGGATACGATTAGAACTGGACTCGAACCCGTACATATCTGAGAAAGTCATCTCATTTCGCTTTTGATTTTTACAAGTTCCGGCTTCTGGCTTTACCACATTAGTTGCAAAAAAAGAATGTATTAGTAATTTTTTTCATGCGCATGGTGTGACAAAACGGCAAAAGTTTTGATCAGAGTGGGACTCGAACCCACGCATCTTTCGATACTAGAATTTAAACCATCTTGAATGGTCAAGTTGTCTTTTTAATGAACTACTTGAGTCTAGCGCCTTAGACCACTCGGCCATCTGACCATTTTCTGTTGGAATTCATCCGTATGGAGAGGATTATATACCCTGACTCAAGTTTCTCCACACCCGCATGTCCACCCGGTCACCCGAAACCCGCGTCTGTGCTGTCTTCTCATTCGTTACCGAGTACTATACATGGTATATTCGATTGCAACAATCTTAACAATACTCTACATACTATGGTCGTTTCGGCTGTCACATCCAGGACATGCACTCTCACTTATAATAACTGCCGCTAATAAAAGTAGACTTGATAGGGTAGCATAATGACGCACGACATTTAAATTCAATCTTCCCCTCGCATTCCCTGGGGTTAAATTTGTTACTGCACAGTATTCACTTCATCTCACAGGTGACTGGGGATATAATTCGAGCTACACTACTTTCAAAATCACAATGTCATCCTATAATTCTTCCATTGGCCTCGCGCCTGCTAGGCTTCTGCGTAGGTGACAGTCCACATTCCTTCTATATGTATTCGGGAACTCCGAACTGACTTACGACTCTCTTCGGCAGCTGTCACTGGCGCCTTCGCCCTCCCGTTCACCGCTTATTTCCTTTATCTTTCGGGTCGTTGTGTGCAATATCGGCTTCGCGATGAGCATTGGATCGGAGACGACTCCTCCAAGAAAGACAGCGACTCGCCCAGTGGCAAATCTGTTGTAGCAACGCAGGGCGACAAGTACAACGACCTGCTGGTGTCGACGCGCGCGCACGCCAACTTTGCCGAGAATGTGCCCCTTGCATTCATCCTCGCAGCGCTTGCTGAACTTAATGGGGCCAACCGGAAAGTCTTGACGGGAGCCATGACCATTCTCTTCGCACTGCGTGTCCTGCATGCCGACTTTGGACTCATTCGGCCTGGCTCGATGGCTGTGGGAAGGCCCGTTGGGTACTTTGGCACAGCTGGAGTTTTGGGCGCACTGGCGGGATACAGTGCATGGCTTGCCAAGGACTTCTGGGGACTTTGATCTGTGAGGAGCAAGTTCATGAATAAATAGTTTCAGTGAGTTTTGAGGTCCAAAAAGAGGCGCCTTTATATAAGTGCCCTGCGTTGCCCTAGTACAGAGAAAACTGCCAGGAATTGGGACAGGGAACGAATCATGGGCAGAACCTTTAATAAGTGCTTGTACGACAAAGTCTATCGTTTGAGAGATAAATGTATGCCTTCTATCGAATCCCACATTCGGTGCCTTGGTCCATGAGGCTCTCCAGAAATGTGCCAAACAAGACTATGCCAAGTCCTAGATTATGGAATGATCTCGAGGTCATCGAAGGGAGAATTGTAATATATTCTAGCCTGGTTAGGAGCGAATCAAATGTCGCATGGCTGGCGCCTATTGTTGAATGCGTAAGTTCTAGCATACAACAACAACATTATAATGGAGATTTGAGTCAAAGGTTCCACACGCTCTTTCTTCTAAGATTGTATTATGATTGATCGGCCCAGGAAATCGCTCGAGTACATATCACCGAAACTTATTGATGTCTCTTGCAAATAATTTGAGTTTCTATCAGTTGATCTTCTGAGATCTTCGTGTTTAGTCTATTAAGTATGCGCCGGCCCCGATCTAATGGGATACCCGAGAATTCAAGGTCTATGCAAACCCCATGTACGCCGAAAACATTATAGTATTTTTTACTCATCCGTCCAGGACAACAATGCGCCCAAAGACTAGGCGTGGTCGATGTACTCAAACAACAACGCCTAACACTCATCTTCCCGCCTTCTCTTTATGCATTCTTCTTCATGGTAACGCGAGCCTTTTGGTTCGGCCTCACTCGGAACCAATAGTATGTGCCTACGGCGACGACAATATTGAAGATGAAGTACGCCCACATGATTCCAAAATTTCGCCATCTGTCCTCCCAGAAGATACCACTGCCGGCCAGGAAGTCGTCGGCAGAAGACAGGGAGCAGTATCTGCACGCAGAGGTGTCACTGGGGTTTTGAAGCGTGCCCGCGGAACCCGTCCCATTCAGATACGCGGAAAAGTACTCGCCGCATGTTTGTCCCAGCGGGGGATCGATGATAGAAGCCTCGACGTTGGAGCAAGTCACCTGGCGTCCGTGAGCCATGGTAGATGTGACGCCGGAGATCCAGTAAGTGAAGGGGCTGACATAGTACATGAAAAGCCAGAAACCGGGCAACGCGGTGGGAGTCTGCAGGACACCACAGAACATCATGCTCAACAACATGCCCAACGTAACCAGTGCAGCGGCGGTATTCGCGTCGGGTAGTGCGGCGATGGTCATATGCGCGAAGGATGAGGCATAGACGAAGAGCATGACGATCAGGAGCAAGAGCAAGGCTTGACTCTCACTGTCCTGCCCCGCGCCGACGACCGGGAAGTAGAAACAAACATAGGCAAGGATACCCAAGACGATCTGGTAAGGAATCTCCACAATGATTTGGGCCATCATGAAGGCCTTCCAGCTGTATGCTTTGCTGGGCCGCTCCCGAACCTCGTACAAAGACCGCTGAGTGACAAACAGAGGTTGAATCTGCTGGACCACGGCAGAGAAAAGGGTGATGACCTGGAACGAAGAGAAGACGGTGATCTGCATACCAGCCAGAGAGGCATCAGGCTTGTAAAAGGAAAAGCCGATAAAGAGACCGGCGACAATACCGAGGAAGAATTTCGCAAAGATATACTCGGGCATGCGCCAGTATTGTTGGAAAACTCGTACAGTAACAGCCATTAGCTGTTGGCTGAATGGCATGGCGAACTCTGAATGACTGCCCTCGTCCTCGCCTGTGTGTGACTGGTGCGCCTTTTCGTTGTGAATTCTGTCGATTTCAGCTTCAACTTCCTGCCGTTCTTGGCTCTTGAGCCAAATTGAGTGCCAGTCATGTGTCTGTCCGTTGGCGATCTCGAGCATGTACTCGGCCGGGTTCTCGTCGCTATGACAAGGGCGTGCTCCATTGGTTTCGAAGTAGTTCAGCAAAGTCCTTGAATTCTTGCCTATGTCGCCAAAGTAGACCGTCTTGCCTCCCTTGGCGAGGAACAACAGCCGATCGAATTCCTGGAACAGCACGGCACTCGGTTGATGTATCGTGCAGAGCACGGCCTGTCCAGAATCGGCAAGTTTGCGTAGGAAGGATACGATAGCCCAGGAACTTTGAGAATCAAGACCACTGGTAGGTTCGTCCAGGAAAAGTAGAAGCTTAGGCTTGGCTGCCAGTTCAACACCGATTGTGAGAAGCTTGCGCTGCTCGACGTTCAGGCCCTCGCCAGGAACTCCGACCACGGCATCGGCGAAATCTTCCATGTTGAGCATCTTGATGACGTCTTCGACGAATCTGTACTTTTCTTCTTTGCTGACTGAGGCTGGCTGGCGAAGCATGGCGCTGAAGCGGAGAGACTCTCTGACAGTGGCTGTCTCTAAGTGAAGATCTAAATGAAAGACGTCAGAATCCGTGCGTGATTAATTGGTTGAGCGAGACGTGAAGTTGACTTACCCTGCTGTTGCACATATCCCGTTTTGCGTTGGAAGCTCTCGTCCAACGGTTTACCGTTGACCAACATATCTCCAGTGATGACGCCCATCGTAATTCTCTGTGCCAAAGCGTCGAGCAGTGTAGTCTTGCCTGCGCCACTAACGCCCATGAGAGTAGTGAGAGTTCCAGGTTTGACCCATCCTGAAATATTGTCCAACAACCGGCGAGTCTCGCCTTTGATTTGGATGTCATATACAACATCTCTCCAAGTAAACACGTCGGTTTGCGGCTCCAGTGCAGAAACTTTGCCCTCATTTTCTTGCATCGAATCCGCTCCAGGTCGACGCTCCACAGATTGGTTGCTGGCGTTGCCTTTGCTTTGGAGATAGGCGGGTACGTGGCCCCGTTGAAATACCAGAAACTCTGCCGTGCTGCCCATACCCGCGTTCAGCTCTGCCACGGCGATGTATAGTGCCAGGAAGAAGATCAGGAAAGCAATGAGAATGCCAAAATTGCGCCACGTATGCGACCATGTGTAGTTGAAGCTTGCGCCGATGTATGCGTCTCCGCTGACAGTAGCACGACCTGCGACCGCGCCCACAGCATTGCAGATCCAAGAGTCGCCTTGAAGTGGAGTATAAGCGGGTATGATACTGGAGCAGATATACTCATGACCATGAAATTCGTTGGCCACCAAGATTTCGAATGCATAGAACAGCGGGTTAATCCAGCGGATCCAACTGAACCAAACAGGCATCGAAGGGACAGCAATCATGAATCCGGTGTATATGGCCAAGGCAAGCACAAGTATACCAGCCACTGTCATAGCCTGGGACGAGGTACGAGTAGCAGCCGCGACTGTGCGAAAAACGCCCGAGAAGATGAAGGTCGAAAGATAGGTTATCAGGAAGAAGAGGAAGAACTGTCCTGGTTCCCGGCGTAGCCCTGCCAAGAAGTAAAGAATAACGTTGAAAGGTATGGCAATGAAGAGTTTGACAGGTATATCAAGAACAAGGCCAGCTAAAGCCTCAGTAGCAGGGTGATAGAAGGCATATGAAGCGTGCTTATTGACGATTGGACGTTGTGCGTATAGACTGCTTATCTCGGAGAGCACACTCAAAGCATTCGATAGCACGCCCATAAACAGGGCGGCGCCTTTGGAGTAGAAGCCGGTAGTAGACTCGTAGTTGTCTGGTGCGTAGAACAGAGATCCCATGATCAGCGCGATGATGACCTGCATGACAGCGTTGGTCAAAGTAGAGGTTCTGTCACCCCAGACACGCTGATACGCCCTCTTGACATTGAGCTTGATCTGTTGACCCACCGTGGTGACATAGGGTGATCCAGATCGAGCATGCTTGGCTTGTCGAAGCTTTTTGCTTTCTCGGAAAAGCTCAAGAGTCTGGTTCTGTGTGCCAGAGCGTCCGGCTTGGTCGTCATCGGACAGTGGGTACGTTTCGCTATGCCTCTGTATGTCTTCCTGCAAGGCCTTGTATTCGGGCGATGCACGCCAGTATCGTTCAAAGTCCTCCGAGGTTCGTGGGACCTTGTTCTCCATTCC